CTGGCCCAGCTAACCAATCACAGCACATTTCGTATTTCAGAAGGTGGGCCTTCATTTGATACTATTCGAGCCGTTCATGCCAGACTGGAGAGAGAGGTGTTGTAATAATGTAAAATATGTGAAAAATAATGTGTTTTTCGAACAACCTAGTATGAGAGCCTGTTCTAGTATACCCCCAAAACAAAATCAAGACTTTGTAAAAGAGCATAATAGGACCCCTTTAAACAAGGTATAACTGAATTGAGAGTAGCCTATAATGTGCAATGCACATTGTAAGCACAAAACAATGAAAGAACTACTTCTTTCCCCATTCCGAGCTTTTTCTTGCTTGCTCTAATTAGTGTTTTCCTGTCATGTAACTTTTATATAACATTTCATGTGTGATGCTACTTTAATTGTGGCGGCAGCTCAAACATTGCATGATGGAATGCATTATAATTTCTCATGATGCCACCTCTGATCACAGTCTCCCCATATGGCAGGTGTGAAGCCACAACTGCAAAGTTTAAAGTGTTATTATCTAATTAAAATACACTGGGACCTACTATCTTAAGTGTACAACGTGTCAGACAAAACACAGCTGAAAAATATCTAATTAACTGCACTACCAATTTATCTATATTTTTCAGCAGCACAACAGTTTTACAGTGATCTAATTTTGCTTTACAGTCAAATAAGCTGAGGCAATAATCAAATATGATCTCTTGTAGTCTTTCATTTTAATAGACTGTTTTATTCAGACAGTTCATGTAAATTAATTCATGCAATTTATTACATTTAATTAATTATTTAAATGCATATTCACAGATCTATGTTAGGCAGAATTTTATGTCCTTTTTTAAAAGAAAATATTTAGTCAAAAGCTGCTGCTCATCACAACATGTTGATTAGAACATTTATGTATCTCCTGAAGTATGCTCTCACTCTAATTGACATTCTCATTGCTTTGTGCCAGATGAATGGGGTTGTAAATATAAAACAAATGACATTAACTACAGCTGAACATATTGAATTCCAGATGAACTGCAATATTAATTTGAACAATCTTGATTCTTAAAATCAAGATATCACACATCGCTTTTCGGCAGTGGTGCTAGGGAATATACAAAAAAAAAAAGTTTGCCTTAGTTTGAGGTCCAAATTGCATGTGTTGAGATCCATGTGTTTAAACTGTTCTTGCACACAACGTTCCCTTTCATGGGAACTTCGAACTGCGTCCTCTCTCCTGGCGCCTATTTATACTATAGTCGCACCGATAGTGACGTCATGGCTGTCGCCGGCCAACGAGTTGGTGTTTTTTCAATGTATGCTTCAGACACGGGTCACGACGAGGCGTTCCCCCATAGCGACCCCTAGAGGACGCAGTGTCTCGTTCCCTACTCAGGGAACCATTGTTACATAAGTAACCTGAGACGTTTCCACTGTAGTTTGATGCATGTCTGGTTTTGTTTCTTTTTAGTGAACACATACAGCATTCACAAACAAATGACTCTTTTGAGCAGATTCTTTTAAAACACACACTCCCACACACTCAAAAATTCAAGACTTACCATTTGAGTTAGTTTGAATCCTTCACTGAATGAACTCACTGAATATTTACAGTATATACAGCAGTGGACAAATTATTTATTTAGGCTACATATTTTATTATAAATTTCATGGTAGTTTATAATTTAATACTTTAAACTTTAGCTTTTAATTGTGGTGATTAAATAATCTGTTAAATAATATAGAAATTTAACCTGTATATTTTAGGTCATGTTTTAGAATCTGGAAATGTTCATAGATACCCGTATTTATATTATTCTGTTGAACAGGTTCAATATTAGTTTGTCCGAGAAAGCTACAAGCTAAAAAAAAGTAGCTTCTCCAATACCGCACTGCCATGGTAGTTCATAGTGCATGAATATGCAAATTTATCCCACCCTATTATATGGACCTACATTATTAGTAATGGTTAAGTAAATGATAAAATAACAGTGATGATAAAATGTCAACAATTAACAACTACTGTTAACAATTATTATTTAAATAGCAGCTTGCTCATTTAATGCCAACATGAGCATCATCCATGCAATTCATAAGTAGCCTGTAAGCAATATTCTTCCAGTGACCTGAGTTAAAGGATGTTATAGCCAACAAACTCTATTTATAGTGACAGGCTAACATGCTTGTTTGCAATTAAACCTTTATTTGCTCTTGCTACTGCTGTTTTTGGGGTTATATAAATCAGAGGTTACAGACAACAGTGTAATTTGGCTGATCATGAGTGAAAAAGAGTGAGTTGTTATTCAGTGTGTTAAAGCAACAGAAGTAGAAGTGGCATGTGGTTGAGAACACACCTGTGACAAGCCCCTGTCTTCCAACGTGCATCCGCACAGACAGCACTCAGTTAGGCCACATTGATTGCACTGGCATTGACTGCAAACTATTCAATTTAGCCCTGATCCCATTTAAGCTGAAGGTGCTCAATCCCAACTTCCTTTGTAGAGAACCTTGATATTGAATTTTCAGCCTGGGATACAATATGGAGCCCTTTTAACCTTCTCCCATTGCTGTGAATACTAATTAAATGGTTTCAGATTATAACATCCACATTTTTATGTTTGACATGTAACAGTTTTGGTGGACCAGAACATTTCCCATAGATATAAAGATGACGTCAGATTGTCATTTTGTTTGGTTGGTCCAAAAAAATCTGAAGTCAAACTAATGAAGTGAACCACTTTAAAATCACCCGAACAGTTTACAGTTAATAAAAATGCATTTATGTCCTAATTCGCAGATGCTGAAAATGTTTTATTTGCATGCTCTCAGTCGCTACACTTTAATCAATTTCTCTGCTGCTTTGAATAAATTACCTTCGGAGAGCATCTTGCATTATTCGCTGCTCTTGCAAATCTGCGGCAATCAATGTCTGTACATTTAGCATACATCTGAATGCACAAATGATATTTATGTATGTATGAATATGCAAATTTTTCTGCCTATTCCAATGCACTGCAACAAAAACATTCTTCAATATTATATTTTTATCTTGTTATATGTAATCACGTCTTGCAGTCTACATTGCAACATCTGGTTGCTCAACTTATGAACCATGTTATGTGGTACATAGAATATTTAGTTTAAAGCAACTCAAAGCTTGTCATGAACAAAGGGAAGGAAAGATGAAAGAATAACTACAAGCTCTAGTTCAAGCCTTTGAACACCCCACAGTTTTATTCCCAATCTATTCTCAATACCTTTGACCCTAAACATTGACTCTGAGAATCAATGTCATCTTACCTTTCCAACATACTGCGGATCAGAACCCATGTATTCCTCCAGAACAAAGAACTGGTTCCACACCCATCCTCTCTTGACTCTGTGAACTCCCATCATGCCATGTTTCCTATGTGCCATCATGTTCCTGTGCTGCTCCTGCCCCATCCTGCTCTGGGATGAAGAGTGGAGGGGAGAAACAAAGCTTTTGTCTAAGAGGCACCAGAGGAACAGCAGCAGACAGTTCCCCATGAGCATTGGAACAACCTTTAGGTGCAAAGATGGATACAGGTGACTTTTATGGTGACGGCAAAGGAGCGATGAATCCAATATGAAGAACTCCACAAAGCCTTGGCGAAATGCAACAACTAACATCCATGGAATTCCTGGGGCGCTTGAAATTGTGTGAACCACCTGCAGGAGAAAAGAAGTAACGGCACTTTAAATCAATGAGATTATGAGGATTTGCAGAGGTGTCTGGGTATCATGCTGGCATGCAATGAAAGCAGAAGACAACATCACTGTCTGTTATGTTTTCATCTTTGCAGTGTAAATCTTTGTCTGTTCAGCTATAACGTAATCTCACTTGAAGGGCTTTACAAATGCTGAGCAAATTGGCTCACTCAAGTTCATTTAGCACATTTAGCACTGGGAGGTTTGAGAAATAAGCATGTAAAAAAAGACTGCAAGAACGAGGGAGTTTGGCAAGAGTTGAACAACTGTTGGCAGACCTCCAAGAAAGTGGTAGAGGTGCAATTCTGTGCTCATTTTCAGTGCATTAGTCTTGAAAATGAGGTGGTCCCACTTGAATAGGAGGGTTGTTTTTGACCTGACAACACAGATGGTATGTCACAGGAAGCAAAAGCCGGTCCAGATGCTTGGGGTCACAAATCAGACAACTTTCCTCTTAATCACCCTCTAAATAGAGAGAACCTGTATAATTATGTACAAGAGGACTATCCATCACTGTTGTACCAAGTATTATGAGAATTACGATGGTATATCAACCAAAGGCTTTACAATTTTTTATTGTGTAGCAGATGGAAATATTTTATGTTAATTAATATAACAGTATGAATGGAAGTAACTAATGAGGCCATGTTAGGCAAAAACTTCTTTAAATACTATTGGAGATTCACAGCTGGTTCTAAAGTTACTGGGTGAATGTGTTCCAATCAGTGAATCAATAACAGGCTGGAGTACAAGTAATGGAGCTTATTAATTACTCTAACATAAATACACAATAAAAATATTCTCAAATCAGAAATAAGCTACATTAGACCCATGCGAGACAGAATAATAAAAAATAAAAAAATCACTGGGGTATTCATTGAGTATACAATATACATCTTATATACAGTAGGGGCTATTGGAAATGATACAGCACTTCCACCACCACATGCTTAAAATAAAGCCACAATTAAACACTGGTCTTTACTGACTTTTTCTGCAGGTTACACCATTATGCCAAAAGGCAGAGACAAGTAAACCTTTTTACTAGTCAATTAGTTGCTCTAGACTCAATTCAAAAACACTAATTCATTCATGAATGAAATGACTGTCAAATGAGTCATTCAATCATTCCCTCAAACTAATTAATCAAAAAACACTGATTCATTTAGGAATTAAACAAGTGACTTGGAATAGCTTACTACCATATTATTGTTAGGCCTACCATTTCTGGAATATTTAGTTAAGCCTACAATAAAAATACTATATAATATGCTAGTATGCTATTCAGAACACAGCAACTGTCTTAATGCAATCATTAAACCATTAACTCAACCACTTTTTTTTTTTTTTTTAAAGCATGAGTGAGCCATTGAATCATTTGTTCATCTGATTCATTCAAAACACTGATTCATTTAGAATGCCACTGCTGTGTTGCTCGGAGCAATGGTTAGTTCTGCTGTGGCAATATTGTGTCTAAAATCAAATTTTCTCTAAATGAACTTCTTGTTTATTAAAATGTTGTATAAAAGCAATATTGCCCAGCTAGGGAATCATCCTCTGGCATTATCATGAGTGTACATATCTTAAATAATATCTAGTTGCATCATATGCATAATATAAGTCACATGTTCATTAAATAAATAAATTGATTAGAGTCTTCTTTATATTAGTAAGGCAATATTTAAACTGTACGGATAATGATTAGTTTGCCAAATCCAGATCAGCAGGACACAGTAAAACAAAAAAATCATGACTTTTAAAAGAAGCACACTGCAGTGATTTCACAGCACTGGCAATGGAGGGACGAGATAAAACAATATTTTCCCATATTCTCACAGGACTTATTTCCTCCCACCCTCTCCAACCCGTATGTCATACCTGTTACAGTACATACTGTGCCCCAACTTAATATATTGATTTAATATTTCTACAACATGCACACATCTGATAGAATGGGAGATTAAATATGTTTTAGTTAGAAGTGATTTTATGCTGCAACATGCAAAAAAATCCATGCAGATAAAGAGGGCAGGACAACAAACAGTATGAGCTTGTGCCAGACAGACCAAGCAGAGCAAATGATTGCAATACGAATCCCTGGAGACCTCTTGTGTGCCGTAGTAGCGAGATGTCTTATGTCTTATGGCAGGACATTGTGTCTCTGCAGCAATATTATTATTCCCCATGGAGAAACCTCAGCAACTGTCTCAACACTTAACAAGCTCAAAGACCTCAAGTGCAGTGCACCCAGAAAGAGCACTTTCGGTGTCTGTCCAAAGGTCATCACACATTAAAACTATGCCCTCATTATTTTGCACTTTTCTTTTTTTGCTTGTTGACTATGAAAGTTTACTGCCAGTCTGTGGTAAATGAATTAACTGGTGTATTCAGGCTGACGTGATGTAAGGTGATGTGAGTGAACTTTACTCTCTGGGTCTGTTGCTGAATTAACATGTAACTTTCTAGCATGCATCACCCAGCAGATTCACTGAAGTTACACTGTCATATCATGTTAGAAAGAGAGGGCTGTTAAGCAGAGGCTGAGGACTCACAACCACACTAGAGACGTACAACCAAGTGATGTCTCAGAGGAAGAAAACATACATCACCATTGAAAGTGGTAAATGATATGAAATTATACTCTTAAATATGCTCTCACTACTGTTTTACAAGCCTGACGGCAGTGTGCCTGGGTTATTCAGAGCAGAGAATGATATGCAAATGAAGGAAATCTTATAATTAAATCTTAAAACTTCATTCAACAATGAAAAGTTGAGAGTTCCCCTGTGATTAAAAGTGATTCCAATTACCAATCATGTTAGCTCCGTAAAGCTCATCCAATTGAAAGCCTATCAAGTTTAGA